GGCACTGAAATAATGGGGAGAAACTCAGATAGATATGGAGGTACAGCACACTTAATGTTTTTCCAGTGTTTATACCTTCAACAGCAAAAAGAATAAGTTCTCTGTAATTGTTATCATTAGAACAAGTATAGTAATTATAATAATTCACTTTTTAAAGGCATTTTAAAGCTTGCAAACACTTTCTTCTCACTAACCATCTGAGGTAAGTAGCATCCCTATTTTACAGTTGAGGAAGGTGAAGCACTTAGAATTTAAGTGAATTATTCAGTGGCAAAAGCAGAGTTTAAGCTCAGGTCTCACGTCCAAGACCAGGGCTATTTCCAATATGATGTAGTTATAGACACACTCACAAACTTTCTCAAACTCTAGCATTAAATAATTCCCAGTTTCCTTTACCTTTGTCCAGCCTCGAGATGTTCCTTTTAGCATTTAGAAAATTATTGTCTCCATACTGTCCATGTCAAATGTCTATAGCTGCCAAAATGCTAATATATCTCCAAGGCAGAGCATTGCAGCCACAAGACTGTCTCTATATGCACCAGTGAAATGAAGCAGCCTTTGCCAAACCTAGGACTTGCTTGCTATAATTTCCCATCTATCCAAATACACAAGCTTTCACACTGCTCATATACTTGCTCTGCTCAACTCTACAAATACTCGTGCTCTCTTTTCTGTTCTTGCTCTTTCATCTCTCTGAATCTTTATCTGTTTGTGCCTGTGTTTCTTTTTTGTCTGCCTGTAGCTGTCTCTGCCTCTCTGTGTCTGTCTTTCTCCCCATCCATGTCTCTCTATGTATCTCTGTCTGTCTTGTCTGTCTCCCCCTTCCCTTTGTCTCTCTCTGCTTCTCTCTCTCTCTGTTTCTCTGTCCACTCCTTCTCTTTCCATTTCTCTCTTCCTCTCCCTCCCGCTCCCCCTCTATCTCCTCTTTCTCCCTCCTCCCTCCCTCTCTCTGACTCTCTCTCTCTGCCTCTGTATGTCTCTGTGTGTCTTGTCCATCCATCTGTCTCTTTTTCTCCCTTCCCATTTTCTCTTTTTCCATCTCCCTTCCCTCTCTGCCTCATCCACTATTCCACTTCGTGGACTTGGTGATTAGAAATCATGCTCCATTATAGAAGTCTGATCATTGCACCAAATCACAACTGCCACCATCTAGAGAACCCCCTTTTTGCCTTCCTTGCATAGCCGTTTGTCTTTCAAATTGGCTATCAACCAGAGTCCAATGTTATTCCTTAAAGAATATTGGTAAAAATTGGTTTTAAATCAGATTGATCATTTTTTATTAGAACTCATTTTTATGAGGTGATTTTTTAAAATTTGATTTTATTTTGCTTTACAGTGATAAAAAATACCCCCCCCCTTGGAAAACCCAGCAATTATCACTGGAATGGCATAATTAGAGAAAAAAGATTAATCAGTTTTTCTACCTCTGTGTGTGTGTGTGTGTGTGTGTGTTTTCATGATTTGTGCAAAGAATGACAGCAAGGTCACAGCTATGTCTATGATGCTAGTAATAATTAAGTAAAATATAATAATGGTAGCAATGGCAATAACAAGCTTTTATATAGTACCTACTATGTGAGGCATTGTGCTAAATACTTAACAAATATTATCACATTTGATCATCACAACACCCCTAGGAAGTAGATGCTGTTATTATCTCCATTTTACAGTTGAGGAAACTAAGGCAAACAGAGGTTCATTGACTGGCTTTATGTCACCAAGTGCCTAGCAATTTTCTCTGCTACGGTTTCCATATTTTGAATTCTTATTCTCATTTGGAAATGAACTCTATAGAAATATATTTCACTTGCCAGCAACCTGTTACATAGAACATGTGATTATATTGGGTTAATTTAATTAAAACAATTTAATTAAAGCCCAACAGAGGCCTTACAGTAACTAGTGTAGTAATACTTTATAAAGCAAAACAGAAAAATAAAATTAATTTGGAGGAACAAATTTATATCAAGGGAAAAATGTTAGTACCACAGATGGAGTAATAATACCAACATATATTATAAACTAGTAATCATCAAAATCATATAGTATTGTTAAAAAAAAAACCCACAAACAGAAAAGCAGATGAATGGTAGATTAGACCAAGAAGAAAGGGAATAAAACTCAAAAAAATCAATGTTTGATAAATCTGAAAACATAATAATTTAGTTTTAAAGAACTGCTGGAAAAACTACAAAGCAATGTGGCCAAAATCAATTTAAAAAAATTAGTAACAATAGTTACTCCCTTACAGTAGGTTAATGTGAGGTGAGAAGCAGTACAGACACCAAAAGGACCCCAGGCAATCAGATCAGCAAAGCCCTAAATTCCTCTAACCTCTGCTCCTGGCTTTTGGAATGTGTTCGATTTAAATGACCTCCTCACATGAGGGTAGTTTAGAAGATGACCTAGATTTGGGAGTTCTAGGAGGTTTTAATGATGTTTCAATTCTCTGGCTTCTCAGAACTAACAAAAACCTTCTTTGCATATCATGCCTTCCTGTTCCGCATGTTCTTCCTGAAGATTCCAGGTCACTCAATTACTGCACTGCAAGAAATGGTTTGACCTTAGCCTTATATGAGAGAAATTATGAGTTCATCAACTATCCTTTGATTGACCAGCTTTGGCTTTTTCATTGCCCTTCTCTGTGCCTTTTTATGAACTGTCCCACGTGACTGGCATGCTCTGGACCCCTCACCACTTCTTAGTTTCCTTAGGTCCCTTTAGGACTAAGCTCAAATCTCATTTTCTGTGGGAGACTTTTCCTGGTTTCATCAGCTGCTAGTGCCTTCCCTTTTCAGATTACCTTCCTGTCAATCAAAATGTGAGCTCCTTGAGAACAGAAACTATCTTTTCTATTTATATCCACAGTGCTTTGCAAATAGTATTTAATAAATTCTTAATTCATTCATTCATTTTGAAGAGGAGGGAGGTCTTGGGGTGCAATCTGGGCTTTTTCCCGCAATCTTGGGGTGCTCCTAGATGCACAGAGGCACCCCAAAATCACAGGAGGTTTTGGGGTGCTGAACCCTAGATCACAGTGCAGATCTGCCTGAATGAATTCAACCCATATCTTCTTCCAGCCAGAGAAAAAGTTTATTAAAAATGAAGCATGTAGGTCAGACTCCCAAGGAACACAAACATCAGTGATCTAAATGGGGGCTAAGGTGGTCAGGTGACTCTCATAAGCAGGCTTGAGAATATCAGCCTCTGGGCATGAGAGGTCTGAATGGGGGCTGGGGGCTAAGGTGGGCCAGATGATACTTGTTACAAGTGGGTGTGGGGGTCTCAGCCACTAGGGGCATGAGAAATTCCCAGCATCAGAATGGGGGAAAGGTGAGTCTTAAGTACAGAAAGACTGGGGGAGGGGTCTCGGAGTGGCCAAGCAGTTTGGAGTGATGGGAGGAGGGGTCTAAGGAGATCTGGATGGGAGTGGCTAGTAAGCTGAGGTGAACAGAACTCCTGGGTTCTGGACTTTGTGGCACCTAGCTAGGATTAAGTGTAAGAAGTGACCAAAGGCCATAGGAAGGTGAAGCAATGGAACATAATGCAAGGCCAGTTGAAGGGGGGAGGTGATTGAGAGGAAGGGTCCAGGTGGGAGTTCTGTTTGGAATGTCTGAGAGATTTGAACAGACAACGAGAATAGATAATGAAGGGAGCTGGAAGGGGAAGTTTGCTTTCAAAGGGCTTTTAAAGGGAAATAGGGCAGTTTCTAAAACTTGAAGATTTTCCTGGGACCAGTAAACAAACTGAAGCCAAGTTCTTTTTGGAGTCAGGAAGGAAAGTGCATTTGAATAAGATTTCAAAGAGAGAATCTAAAAGTTTTAAGGTTTTTCTGGGAATTGTAAACAAAGGAGTCAAATTCCTTTTGACAAAAAGGGGCTAAGGGAAAGGGGCAAAGATAAAGCTCTACAATTTGTTTGACTCTATCTCTATCTCTATCTCTATCCCTATCTATATCTATAGATAGAAACATAGCATATATAGGCATAGATATATTTATCAGTTATGCCTGTCTTCATGATTCCATTTGGGGTTTTCTTGGCAGAAATACTGGAATGGTTTGCCATTTCCTTCTCTAGCTCATTTTACAGATGAGGAAACTGAGGCAAACAGGGTTAAGTGACTTGCCCAGGGTCAGATAGCTAGAAAATGTCTGAGGCCAGATTTGAACTAAGGAAGAGGAATTTTCCTGACTGCAGGCCCAGAATTCTATCCACTATACCACCTAGCTGTCCAGATATAAAGATAGGCATAGATATATTTATAGATGGTTATAAAGATATGGATATAAGTATAGATCTTCTATGTACCAAATTATTTACATTTTGTATTCCTCATTGGAACATGTATTCCTTCAGGGCAAGGATTAATATTTTCTTTTTTAAAAATATATTCTCAATCATTAGTGCAGTACCTGAGCAAAGTAACCACTTAATAAATGTTTGTGCATTTACTGCCTGACCAAGAACTTTCAAAATATGTCCTTTGGGAACAGAAACTGTATCTTTCATTTCTTTTGTATCTTTCTATACCACAAGGTAATGAGGGAATACAAAACTGCTGACTGATGGCATTCAATAAATGTTTATTTAAATTAAATCAATTGTTTTCAATTCCCTAAAATCTATTTTCTTTCCTTCCTACCTTCCCTTGTTCACTGAGAAAAAGAAAAAAAAACTAAAACTTTGTAATAAATATACATAGTCAAACAAAAAAAGGAAAATCCCTGTATTATTTATGCCCCCAAATTATATGTCTCAATCTGCAATCTGAAATCTATCATCTTTCTCTCACATGGTGTGTAGCATGCTTCATCTGGAATCCTGAATCATGCTTGGACATTTAGTTGATCAAAGTTCTAAAATCTTTCAAAGTTCTTGGTCTTTACAATGCCATTGCATAAATGGTTTTCACTGTGCTCTGCACCAGTTCTTACAAGTCTTCTCAGGTTTCTCTGAAACCATCCCTTTTTTAATTCTCATAATGATGTTCTAGTAAAAAAAAAATTGGAGCACTTCATAAATTCACATGTTGTCTTTACACAGGAACTATGCTAATCTTCTCTGTATTGTTCCAATTTTAGTACAGCATTTGTTAATTTAAAAGGATTACAACATCAAAGATGATCCAAAGTGCCTCTAAGCATTCAACAAGTTTTACCAAAGTTTAAGTATGAGCAAACCAAATCTTAACTATGTCCTGTGAATAAGAGGAATATTATTTCTGGACTATTGTGTCTCTTTTATGGATCCCATCTCCCTGAATTTGATAGCCCAAAGAGCCAGCAAAACAGGTTAGAAGTTTTTATTCCTCATGGCTTAAAAGATATTATTTAATCAAAGACAACAGAAGAACTGGCATATAGAGCTTTGACATAAAAATGAAACTTTTAATATAGAATTAATGGTCCTATTAGTTAACTAATGATTTCTGCTTTAATAATCATTTCAATCTAATATTTGTCATATCAAATGAGATGTAACTCAAAAGCTCTCATTCAAGAAACATAAATATTTGTCAAATCAAAAGGCTTTCAGCCTGGTGTGTAGACTTTCTATGAAGGATTTACGGGAAAACAAGGAGAAGAATTGTACAGGATGAAAAGATTGGGAAAGGTACCAGAATACCACATCCCCTGCCCTCTCCTTCTCCTAGGATAAGCTGATCACCCAGGGTTCTGGTACACTCTCTCAACTCACTTTTAGTTTCCTTTCCCTTCTGATTAGAGGACTAGAGGGAACTAGACTCCTCTCAGAGCCTTCCTTTATAGAAGGCTCACAATCTTTCAGCCAACTCCATCTGCAACTCTGATAGGCTTCAACTTTCCAGAACACCATGCCCCAGGCTGTCCCACTCCCTGCTCCTGGCCCTTTTCAGCTTCCTTTTGGGCATTGTCTTCTGCCATTAGATTCTAAGCTCTTGAAAGGCAGGTACTATCACATTTTCTTACTAGTTTCCACAGAACTTTGCACAGTGCCTGGCACCTAGTAGGTGTTAATAAGTGTATATTGAATTGAGTTGAGTATCCAAGTATCACACTTTGCCGGGTGGGGGGTTGGGGATTAATGGTCAACACTGATGAGGCCACAGATCCACTGAACCATGGTAGTATAATATATAGCAAGGTTTATACTAACTTCTAATAGTTCCATTTGGGGTGAATGAATTGCACTATTCTCCACAATGGTGATAAAAGGATAGTTATTCATGTCATGGGAAAAATGTTCTCCTTCATGAAAAGTACCCTTGGTATGTATGCATCTGACCATCCTAAGTGTAAATCACATATTAAGTCTTCTGTCATATGTGTTTAACTAAATAACAGTTGCCTTTCATCTTTTAGAAGAAATGCCCATATGTGAAGGCTCCAGATTTTTACAGAGAAACAAATGATCTCTGTTTAAAATCATATCAATCAACACTCTCCAAGTTAGTCAAGATTTTCACCAGGATATTTATTTACTGTTACAATTTTTAGAACACATTTTGCTGTGTAGATTTGCTCCTCTAGCAGTCCTGTTTTAATTAACATTCTCAAGAGGCAGAATGGTAAGAAAGAACATAGGACCCAGAGTCAGAAGACAGACAGTCTAACATTTACTACGTAAAGCACTTTAGACATGTAACTTAACTTCTCTATCCTCAATCTCCCCATCTTTAAAAACAGAACTCATATCTGGTTATTAAGCTTTTATGAGGAAAGAGTTTTGTCAACTATGAATACTTAACTATATGAATAGAGGGCAGCTAGGTAGTAGAGTGAATAGAGTACCTGTACTGGAGTCAGGAAGACTCATCTTCCAAAGCTGGCCTCAGAGGCTTACTAGATGTGAGATCCTGGGCAAATCACTTAATGCTATTTGCCTCAGTTTCCTCATCTGCAAAATGAACTGGAGAAGGAAATGGAAAACCACTCCAGTACATTTGCCAAGAAAACTCCAAATGAGGCCATGAAGAGTCAGGCACAACTGAAAACAACTCAACAATAACAACAAATGAATGAAAGCTCTTATTCTCTCAATTAAAGCTTAAGTGTACACAATATTAAATTTATACAATATATTAAATTTAATATAGATATATCACTTTAAAAAACCCAAACTGTATATAACATATTCATCGTTTCATGTACGATCTCCTTTCTGTCTTTTTTTCCAGTATGTTGAAATGTTACTGTTTCTTAGATAGAATTAAAAAAGATAGAAAAAAAAAAGATGGAATTAAAAATAGAAGACATCAAGATAGCTATAAGATATTCATCAGCAAAGTAGTACTGTGGATAAAGTGCTGGGACTAGAGGCAGGAAGACCTGAGTTCAAATTTGGCCTCAGTGTGTGACCCTGAGCAGAGTGTGACCCTGAGCCCTTGAACCCTATCTACCTTATTTTCTTCGGCTATAGAATAGAGAATCGTAAGAGTACCAGAGTTGTTGTGAGGATCAGATGAGATAATATTTTATATTTTATAAATACTTAGCACAATATCTGGCCCAGAATAAACACTTAATAAAAGCTTATTTCCCCACATCCCCTTATTTGAGCTGAAATGAGAAGGGGAAGGGAATTAGCATTTATTTAGTGCCTATTATGTGCCAGGTACTGTGTTAAGTGATTTTTTTTCTTAACAAATATTATCTTGTCTGATCCTCATAACAACCTTGCAAGGAAGGTATTAGGATCCCCATTTTACAGTTGACAAAACTGAGCCAAGCAGAGGTTAAATGACTTGCCCAGGGTCACATAGCTAGTAAGTGACTGAATCTGGCTACATTTGAATTCACTCAAGGCTTCCTGATTCCAGGCCCACCACTCTAACCACTTTGCTATCAGCTGTCTTGATAACAAAATAAACTATTTCTACTTCTAGTATTGAAATATTATGAATTAATGTTACACTAAATCATGTTCATCAATGTATTTATTATGAAGCACTGATTTTTAGTAATGGTCAGAGCTGGAAATGACTTTAGTCATGGATTCATAAATCGTGAACGTCAAGGCCAACTGGCTTATAGACCTCATTTTATGGATGAGGAACCTGAAGTCTAAGGAAATTAACTGAATTATCCAAGGTAATATAGGTAGCAAGCACGAAAAAGAGTGATTTGATTCTTGGCCCTCTGATTACAGGACCAACTCAACTATTCTTCCTACCTTCATTTTAGGGATGAGGAAATTGATCCCCAGAGAGTTTAAATGATTTGTTCAAAGTTACCTAGGAAAGTAGTCTCAGAATGGGTACTAGAAACTGGGTCTAATGCTCTTAAGTCTACACAGTACCATCTCCTACACTACTAGGTGCCCAGACTTTTAATATATAAATGTATGTCTAGCATATGGGGGAACAAATCTCTACTTATACTTTGTATTGTTCAGATCCAAATTCAACATCTAATTTTGCAATTAAGCAAATTAGGGAGATATTGGAATGGGTCTAGACTAAAGCAAGCAAGACAAGTTAACAAATGTTTTGAGATTATTACTTAAGCAAGATTGGAAGAAACAAAAATAGAATCATTGGAAGAAAGTAACAAATTTAAGCTTGATATAAATGTAATGTGAGTACTGCCCAATAAGCACAGTGCTGAGCACATAGTAAAAATATAATAAATGTTTGTTGATTGCTTGATGAGAACCAAATTCTTTCATCATTCAGAATATCCATTTGGAAGCAGACTGAGCCTGCTTCCAGAAACATGTGATAGAAAGGGTGTTTTCCCTTCCTGCTTCAGGGAATGCATAGGTATTCTTTATTTCCTTTAAACATTCTACCTGGCAATGCAAAGCCTTTTAATGGGCTGCTGATGTGAAACTAAGTATGCATACAAAAGCTTGAACATGAAAATTTTCTCTCTTTTCCTTGGGTGAGTGAGGAAAGAATTGCTATTGGCCTCTGGAAGAGAGGAAGTGACCTTAGGTTCTCTCTTCCACACATGCCATGTGCTATGAGTAGATGGTGCTTCTTTTTCTCTTTTGAGTTTTTTGTTCTTTCTTTCTTGAACGGCTTACTTAACTCTGCATCAATTTGTACAAGTCATCAACTATCTCTCTTAATTCTTACTATTCACATCACAATTTGTTGTCTATTCCATGATAGAAGGACATCAGCTCCCTTCACCAGGACTTTGCTACCAAATAAAAATGCTATTGTTAATATTTTGGTATATATGATACATTTCCCTCTGCCTTTGATCTCTTTGAGTTTATATGCGTTCAAGTGAGATCTCTGAATTTTTAGTCACCTTCCTAACATGACTTCAAATTATTTTCCAAAATGGTTGGACCAATTCAGAACTCCACTTATAACCTCACAGGACACTTATCTTTCCAGATATCATAACATTTGTCAATTTCCTGGATATGAGATAAAAACCATAGAGTTATTTGGATTTGTATTTCTCTTCAATATAAATGATTTGAATCAATGGGGACAGGAATCAGTCTTATAAGTTCATTTGCATAGGGAGCACCTGCTTAGAACTTTACTGATGCAGGGTTATATGTCGTCTGCAACTGCAGTCTTAGAAAATTGCCTAAATACTAAGAGATTGAATGATTTGCCCAGTCAGTAATGTCAGAAGCTAAAACTGAACCCAGGTTTTAGGGCCTGTTCTCTGTTATTCCATGCTGCCTCTCTGGATCAATATTGTTGTTAACAGTTTGTCATTCTTCTTTTAAGAACTATTTCTTCATATCCTTGACCATTTGTCCTTTGGGAAATGACTTGGTCATGTACTCAGTGTCTCAAAAGTCTAAATGTCATTTTGAGTTGAAAACAGCAATTAGACTTTACAGATACCCTGTATTTCTGATATTTTCCTAAATAAGCACCAATAGTTTAAAACTGCCCGAAGACTTTTTGGACACTAGTAGAATAGGAACAATCCCTCATCAGATATACTTTATAAAATTTTTTTGACAAGCAATGGTTTTCCTTCATACTCTAGTTACATCGATTTTCTTTGTGCAAAGACTTTTCTATTTCATGTTATTGGAATTAATGATTATATTTTTATGATTTATTCTCCAATTTATTTGTTTTGGAATTCAATGTTTGGGCATAGGTATGAAAATTATCTGATCTGGTTCTCTCCTAGTGTGCGTGTG